CGATCTAATTTTTTATTCTCTTTCATTGCAATATGAGAATATTCTTACTCTTTCTTTCAAGATGACACAGATTAATTTTTTCATAAAAAAAAAAAGGATTCTACGCTAAAATCACTGTGGTCAATCTCATTCGTGATGTGTAATATGAAATAGTACTTTTGGTATTAAAGGCTTCAAGTCATATCATCTGTGAAATAAGATGTATTAAAAATATTATAAAAAAAGTGATTTTATGTGCACCTTGCAATAATATGCAAGCGAGTATCAAACACTTCACAAGAAAATTAGTTTGTATCCGTAAATGCAAATTTTTTAAAGAAATTTTAATTAAATAGCCAACCTTCTATTTGTATACTTAATGTTCTCATAAAAGTAAGGAAAAGCCATGGTAACTAAACTTCATCATGTTCTATAATGTGTTGAGCACAATTCATAAATCAAGCCTATAACTATTTCATAAAAAAAATTTCAAGTTTGTAGGTTAAAATCTTAGCTTTTATGTTTTTAAGATATTTTCTTTGTTTTTTTGTTTTAGCATATTATTTTAAAATACTCTAAAAATCAAAATATCAAGAAAATATATCTTAGTAAACATATTAAAACTTTCATAAAAAAACATGTAATTTATTCCGTAATATAATCTACTTTTGGATATTACGGACCCCCCTATTGAAATATTATAAAGATTATGGGCAATCTAAGCCAAGGCAAGCTGATATTTGCATGGTCTGCCTGCGCCTTCTTCGCCCTACCGAATTAATGGGTGTGTGGCATTGGTCATCCCTTGTACAAGTTTATGCGTTGAATTATGTTCAGCCCGATCTGGTTATCCGTGGGTGACTCCTTTGAGTAGATCATGAGAAAATATTACGTTTGTTTGTCGCCTGCATGTAGCTTGGCATACATGTTGACGTGGCCCTCGGTCATACCAAGTTGTCGCCCAGCGCTTGGTCATTCCACATGTGCGGACGGCCGGACGCAGTGAACAAATGACTAATCTGAATCTGCAGGCCATAGATGTGCACTACTTTATTTTATGTCAAATTTATTATATTTAGTTCCCATCAATTTACGTCATTCTTTTTCAATAGTATTAATAAAAACATGTTGATTTTGCTTGACTTGTTTATTAATGATAGATTAGTCTTAAAACTAAAAGTGGGTTTGAATCAGTATAACTAATTAGCAAATTAGTTTTAATTTATATTGAACAAACCAATGTTTAAATATTTTGTGGATGCAGGACCACAATATTACGTGAAATTATTAATATAAATAAATTGTTACCCATATTATTATTATATATATAGAGCTCAGAAACAAATACAGAATATGAAAATTATATGATAATAGTAATAATATGAAATAATTTGTATTATATATATTAATGCATTGGATAATAAAGCAATTTGTGTATTATTTATTATTAAATTCAATAAAAGACTTATTTTGTAGATTTTAAACTTCTTGTGTGATAATATTATTAATTAAATAATATAAGGAACAAAGAAAATAATATAAATTTTTATTCGTATAAACATATATAGTAAGCAAATATCTTATGCATAAATTATTATATTACACAAGTGGGTAGAACGATATAAGCAAACACCACATGTCATATAAAAGGAATAATTTGAACATATTCGATTGGCATTGAAAGGTAAGATTATACGAAATAGTAGAAGAAATGTTCAGAGAAAAAGAGATGCGAAATATGTTGACATGTTTTGAAGAAATAAATTATAACTAGATACATAATTTTTTTTATTACTTAGAAATAAAAAGAATTTATTCTTATAGGCATTAAAAAAAAAAATTATTAGGTTTTGTATGTTTTTAATTATTTATATGATTGATACATGCTTAGGGCTTGAATCTGATGTTTCTCCTATTTAACACCTTAATATTAAGGAAAATTTATATAAGTGGCGCACAATTATTATGTATTTACATATCTCACATCTAAACTTTTATATTTACATACATAGCATTGCTGCATTAATCTATGCATGGCAAGGTGTATTTTACTTTTAACAAGTGATAATAATGTTTTTCTTATTTTGATATTAAAGATTGGAATGTTGTGTGTAAATAAGAAAAAAAATATATTTATATAAGATTGCCCCTTTTTAAGTCGTTCGGTTGAAGATTTTGATGAACAAAATGAAATGAGAGAACCTTGATATTTTGTTGTTAGAGTTTCCACGCTCTTTATTTTTATGTAAGTGCAACGATGCATGTTCAGTGCTCGCCATCTTTTTTTTTAGAATTGTAACACCAACATTTAGGTTTTTATCGATTTGTTAATCGACATTTGAAAAGCTTAGCTATATTACAAAATGTTGATGTCACACTCCTAAAAAAAGTTGATCACCTCTCATCCTACCATACGAGCACTGTCACTAGCTATGCTTCAACTTCGTCTACTTATCAGCTCGAGCCTATGGGACTGACATAAATTTCCCCCTTGGTTTAATACGTAGTTTTGTATTTTCAATTTCAGTCGTTTGTATATTGCATTTAATATTATGGTCATATGTTTATTTAAAGTTATGATTTTCCTTTCCTTGTTGTCTATTCTGTGGCTCGATGAGGATGTGTTTGGCTTACTACTCAGGGCCTGCGATTCCTTGGATTACTGGAGTAAGAGCAAGCAAGCCAGATAAAATCAATGCCCTGACTACTGAACATGGAAGCTTCCATGTATACTAGTGGGCGCTCCCACATATGAAGTATAATAGGAGATTGGCAAGAGTTAATTTTTGTATTATACCTTATTTTAAATTAAATATATGTTAACTATTTCATTGCACTAACAGACTCTAGAGTCGGGACAAGCGCTCAGTCCTGTCTAATATTTTATTTTAAATTAAATATACGCGCGCTCCACAAGCGGCAGTTGAATCGAGCCTCGATGGAAGACAAATATCAAGTGAACTAGATAATTCATAAGGGCTATTAGCATACAATTCATGTAAATATTGAATTTTATTTAATTTTTAACTTTCCGTAACAATTTTTATTTTTATAGGAGACCTTCCTAAAGGTAAAGTAGAGTTGAACGCGGCAGACAAGCGGTCATACGATCCCAGGTCGTGATCCGTCGGAGTACGAGTTGTAGAGATAGGTTGTCGGAGGCAAGAAGAAAGATTGGGTCTACGGGTTGGGGTCTTAGGCACAGGCCTACAACATTCATTCTTCTTCCAGCGCATTCAGGGCATCCACTACTACCACCCATGGGGAGGAGAATCGTAGGCTGGTTGTCGGATTCACCAAGACATTCAAACTAGAGTTGCTGCCCAGCTTGCCTAGATGAGGTCGGAGATGGAGCTTAAAAATGAAATAAGAGTTAGATGCATTCTAGTGTCGGGTAGAGCTGAGAGACAAGTAGCCGACAATGTATGATTTTGAGGAGGATGATGAGGAGACTATCGAGGATTATAATTTTTTTTTATATTTGTTCATTTGAAACAGTTTAAGAGAACAACTTATTTTTTTGTAAATATATTATTTTTGGTTGGTTCAATGTTGTTTTTCTATTTTTGTGTTTCCTTTCTATGTTAATTACTACTATTTTAGCTTAATAAATGATTGGATTGGAAAATTATGTTGTCTTATTTCGCATTGGGTTTGATGTTACGATTGCAGGTGTAAAATTTGAAATGATGAAGAAGGATATTTATTTTTTTCTGGTTCTATAAATTTTTTACGATATTTTATAGATTCACCGACGGCTCAACGATGCATTATCATTGGTCACACTCTCTGTGGTCTGACAATTTTCGAACCCTCAGTTGTAATGACAGATGGACACCGACGGCTTACAAACGATTGACTTTTAATTACTCATTGATGGGGTTGTAGACGGTCGGCAAACCGTCAGGAGATAAAAGTTGTCGGTTTATCAGTTGTTTTTCCAATTATCGACAAGCGATTTGCCTATGTCCAAAAAATTACTGTGAAGCCGTCCAAACTTTGCTAACTTATGGTTTTAAAATATTAAGCTGCGACTTTGGACCATCAAAAATAGGTTAAATTCTATAGCGTCTCCAGTTCAACTTCAACTCCCACAATTCAAAGAGCAAACTAATTTGATGTCCAAGCCACAATATTCTAAGCAATATGATGATCAATATGTACACATTCATATTATACACTACGGACAGATATAGTACATCAAAAAATGTGGCGTATACACAAAATGTATTATGGTCTGCAAATATTATTCTATTATTCTACATTATATTTCCTTTTTTTTGTTTTGTTTTATATTTATTGCACTGCAGTTTATAATTTCTTTCACGTATTATCTTCACATGATTTTTAATTATAAACATCAGACCTCCATTGTGATAGAAAGGTAGGTTGGTTACATAAATTATGACGAACTCCATGCTATTGGTCGTACGAGATAAAGGTGCAAATAGAAGGATTTAATAAAATTCAGAACCTTTGATAAAAAAACAATTACATAAGCAAAGAAAAGATAGTTGCAAGAAACTTGAACACCAACCAAAATACACTGCTCATCAATATTGGCTTGCGGTACCTCCTAAAGCTATCTAATCGCTCCCTCTTAATTACATAGCGGTACCTCCTAAATAATGATTATAATAACTACCAATAAATCACAATAACAAAAATCTTCATTATTTAGGAACTCATTATGCTCAAATCCATCAGTCTGCTTCACACAATTCCTCCTATAACATTTAAATTTGATATTTTCCTTTAAATATGTTATCTTAATCTATGCTTATTAACCCTAAATTTTATTTTTAAAATATTTAAAAATTAAATTTATAAAAAAAATAATGTGCACTTACTTCAACTGGGAGGTTGCCTATTGTCCATTGGCCTGAATTTGTTCATAATAATAATAATAATTTATAGGGCAAAAATAAAGATCTGACTCGCCACACCCAAAGAGGATAAACCAATTTAAAATTTTGGCCTGATTTCGTAAGTGAATATAAGAAGCAAGCAAAGGACTCGAGAAGAAACGAGGGAATCGTGAGCCACGGAACAGCGCAAAGAACCTACGCATATTTCTAATTCCCATCCACTTCCCCTTCTTTTACCGCACTCAAACCCGAGCCGGTATAATAAGAGAAAGAAGGGAGGAGACTGAAGCCAATGGGGAGAATGGGCCTCCTCGCAGTTGCCGCCAGGGCGCTCAACACTGCGGTGAGCATAATTGTGTTCAGCATCCTCGACCTCCTCGACGTCCTCCTCTGCCTCGTCTACAAGCTCGTGGACTTCATGGTTGAAAGGGAGTGGAAGCCGTGCTACTGCTCCTTCTCCTCTTCCGGCGACATAGTGGCTAAAGGCGGCGGTGGCGGTCGCGGCGGCAGAAGCAATGTCCTCCGCTCGACACCATCTCCGACACCCTCCATTTCCGTCCTTATTTCGTATCCGACTTAGCATCCATCATTTTCAAAAAATACGCCATACACAACATCCCGCCCCAAGCCATTCTAGAAATCCCCAGCCACAAGGCGAAACCTCGTCCATCCCCGCGCTGGTCGGACTGCGACTGCCACACCTGCAACGCGTGGAGCACGAGCGGGGATCCCCTGTCTCGAACTCTCTACGTGCGGGCCGAAGGGAATCTAGTGCCGCCCGAGGAAGACGTGATTTTTATTCACGGATTCATCTCTTCTTCAAGGTTTTGGACGGAGACGGTTTTCGGGGAGTTTTCGGAGGCGGCGAGGTCGAGGTATCGGCTTCTGGCTGTTGATTTGCTGGGTTTCGGCCGGAGTCCTAAGCCCGATGAGTCGCTTTACACGATGAGAGAGCACGTGGAGATGATCGAACGGTCGGTTCTGCGTCAATACGGCGTGCGGCGCTTCCACATCGTCGCGCACTCGCTCGGGTCCGTCCTCGCGCTCGCGCTCGCCGCGCGACACCCGAACTCCGTCCTCTCGCTCACACTTCTTGCTCCGGTGATTCATTAATTATTTAATTAATTAACTACTAAAAGATCTGATTTTTTTTTTATATACATGTACAGATTAATACAGCAGTTGGCCTGCCGGCCGAGCAATGCAAACATCATACTATATTACCTAAGTTTTTTAAAAAAATAACAATAATAAATAGAAAAATTATTGAAATCATGATTACGATGCTTTACATTTGTAACCTCCAAAAATGAATTATAGTTCGTTGGAGTGCGTTAACATGCAATTTCTTAACAATATTCTAATTTCACAACCCGTTTTTGAGGTGCATCATACCATATGTCAGTTTTTTTTTCATTTTTTAAAAAAATTGAATTGTTGAAAATGACACTCCAGCAACTACTATCCATTTGAGGTCACCGACACTGCCTTAAATTAAGTTGCATGATTAGTGCAATGATATTAATTGAGATTGTTAATAAGCATGGTTTTTGATGTGCTTGTGCAGCCATATTTTCCTGGATGTGAAGGGAATGGAGAGCAAGCGGTGATGAGGAAGGTGGCGCCGAGAAGGGTATGGCCGCCGATGGCGTTCGCGGCTTCGATGGCGTGCTGGTACGAGCATGTGAGTCGGACAATTTGTCTTGTAATTTGCAGGCAGCATCGCCTTTGGAACTACATTTTCAGGCTCCTTACCTTCAACAGGTATTCATCTACTTGCTAAAGGTTGTGTTAGGATATGTCCCTCCCTAATTAACTCTTTTTTGAGAGGGGGCAAACGTATTATATAAAAAATTTGATATAGAGCTTGGCTCTAATGAAATTTGATTTGAGTCATAAATATGATAATGGAGTCTTGTTCGGCTTCTATATAGATTTGGTGTTATGATTTTCAGAAGCAAATAATTATATTATTTCCATCTTCGGCTTTATTTTTGTCTAGGGGTGTCTATACTTGTGACTATTTTTAAAATCTTAATTCCATCATTAATTGAATGTGTCAAATTTCTTTCGATAATAATCATTGAATTTTTTGCATAGTTAAAACTATCATAAAAAGTAATCATAGAGACTTCTTATATTATTGGTTACAATAAGATTATGATCTTGAAATTGAAAATTATATGAAGGGTAGATGTTAAAATTAAGTTGGGTGGGAAATAGTCATTCTTTCTAAGCTCAATACATCTAAAACAATAGAACAAGAAAGGATTTCAATCAAATTGGTTTTTGTTTTGAATTTTTCTTGGATTTAAATTTTGAAAATCAAAACATTGGCTTAAATCAAGCCACGATACTTAGATTGGAACGCATAATTTTGAGTGAATCTTAAGCTGTTATTTGACCAACTCGATTTACTTTGTAGATAGATTTGCAAAAAAGTATGTCTAATTAATTTAAAATTCATAAATACACGAAAGTAATTATAAGCATTAAAAATGTTCGTTGGATCTATTTACATTTGACATGAGAAAGCTGCTTTGGGGCTCACTTTAAGTACCTTCAGATAAAAATATCCGTCCAACTAATTAACATTTAAGCCCTCTTTATCAGTGAATAAGACAAGCTTAGCCATGCACAATTGGTACTCAAGAAAACTTTTCTATAAAAAATGCAAAAAAATTGGAATAAATTAAGGAGCACCACACACAATAAATTTGCTTAAAATATATAAAATACTCATTCAAAATATTATAGTATAAAGGTCGTTTATCTAAAAAATATTATCTTCTATCTTGTGAGAATATCTTGCATTCGGGGTCTAGACGCAAGCAGCATCCAGACAACGGACGCGATACAGGGGCTGAGAATTTTTTTTTTCTCTTCCGCTCACATGAATCACATTCTTTATCCGGACGTTACTTGCGTCTCCTTGGACATGATTTATCATCAAGCATTTTCTATAAAACATTCTTTATCCGGACGTTACTTGCGTCTTCTTGGACATGATTTATCATCAAGCATTTTCTATAAATATGTTTTATTGTTAAAGCATTTTTACATGAGAATACTTGATTTTATTTTAGAAGTATAATAGCTTGATTAAAATACTTTCGATCGAGCCCAAAAAAAACTACATATTAGTTTTGAATTTTTTTTAACATTTTTAATGATGGGGCATTTAAATATATAAACAAAATTCTCATATATTTATATATCTAACTCCAAAATTTAATATTTACATCATCATTAACATCACATCAAAGATATCAACTATAACTAATTTAAAAATAATATAAAACATACCCTTTCATTCATAATTTTATCACTTTAAAGTGTTATATAACAAATTTAAAAATAATATAAAACACACCCTTTCATTCATAATTTTATCACTTTAAAGTGTTATAAATATAAATACCGAACTTTAGGTGCTATATATGTAAATGCACAAGAATCGTGTGATATGCATGCAAGATTTCCTAATAATTATCTCCTTCTAATTCATTATTTGATCTGCTCGACATGGAACAGGATTAGAACGTTTTTGATCGAAGGATTCATGTGCCACACCCACAACGCAGCGTGGCACACCCTCCACAACGTGATTTGCGGCAACATGGAGAAGATGAACAGAGATCTCGATATCTTAAGGGACCAACTTAAATGCCACGTCAGCATCTTCCACGGAGAAAACGATGAACTCGTCCCCGTGGACTGCAGCTACGCTGTCCGATCAAGAGTTCCGCGGGCACATCTTAAGGTCCTCAAAGGAAAGGATCACATAACAATGGTCGTCGGTCGGCAGAAGTCATTTGCGGCAGAGCTGGAGCAGATATGGAAGAATGCGAAAGGAGGGAAATGATGTTCTGTAGAAATTAATAGCGAAGAAAAATAGTTTGGGTCAAAGTAAATTTTAAAATTTTTAATTTATTTTGAGATGAATATAATAATAAAAAAAATTATTATTATTATTATTTATTTATTACATTCATCTCATAATAAGTATTAAAAATTTGAAAATTTATGGTGATTTAAATTAATCATGGCCCAATTTCTCCTCATTAATACGAGCTTGAAAAATAGATAGCAATTTAATGTGAGGTTTGGGCCTACAAAGAAAGCTATATGGTCCTCTGTATTATTTGGAGCTGTAACTGCATGTTCACGGTTGATAGTACTACAGTATTATTATTTGTTGCCGATTATTGTTAGAATCCAGCTCATATATCGCCTAATTTTAATTCTACGAGACATTTTTAGTTCATCACACATTGAACAAAAAGAATATTATTATCACATTTAAAAAGTGAATTAAATGTTTTCATGCATAAGTTAGTAGCACTGAAGTGCTATGTATGTAAGTATTAAAGCTTAAATGTGAGATATGTTGAATCTTTTTAGGAGGTAGAGTTTCGTACTGTTTGTGAGTTCATATAGGAAGGTGTGGAAGACGATGATGGATGTGTTACTGAAGTGTAAGTTCTTATTATGTTCATTGAATCTTTGAGGGATGAAGAAATGATTTTGGAGGAAGAGTTTTTGGTTCCCATTAGAGAAAGTGTCGGGGGATCAACCTTTCTCGATTTTTTCCGCCTATACGTAAGGGAAGATAAAGAATTATAAAATTATATCTTGTATGGTGCTATGTCTGTCCACGCTGCTTTGATAAAAAAATTACAATGGGGGTATCAGACATTGCCATAAATATGGACGTATGTATGTATTTTTATTTAATGATAGTCTTCTTTCATAGCTTGTTTGCCTTGGGCTATTTTGATCACTTCAGCAGATGGGTTCGGTTCAACCACTTTGATAAAGGAGCTAATCAGTTCTAGAATACCCATATAGAAGTCTTGCATGGGCTCATGACCGTATTTTGGGTATGCATATGTGATTATATAAGAATTGTGTGCTACGTTGAGAAATTTTCCTTAAGAAAAGTTAAGACATTGTGATGAAATTAAGAAAATCACTTGTCCTCCAACGTGTCGCATAATGCTTGAAAATATATGAAGCGATGAAATCTCAAAATGTTTGAGTTTAAACTCATCCTGGTCAGGAAAAAAAAAATCAATTAATTATTTGAGCTTAACTTGTAATTAATGTGAAGGAATTTGGGACCATTAACTAGTGACGAAAATTCTTGCCATTTAAAGTGTTAGGTCGGGCAGATGATTATTGATGCTCATGGAAAAAATTGATCAACCACCTCAATATTCTTGACCTATTGCACCTCTTCTCCGACCAGCAATAAGTATTTTAATAGGCTTCTAAAAATTATTATTAGTATTATTATTCTTATTATTTTCCTTTCGAATTTGGACAGAGTCATCCATTGTACAATGCTCATATAGAAGTAAATGTGCTGTACCATTTCCCCCAAGTTATTTAGTTTCGTCGGGAATTAGAAATGCTCCTTGTTGTTGTTGGTAGGTGCAGGAGTGCTCTATGGTTTCATTAATTATCTCCAAGAATGCGCTGTAATGTATAGGAGAAAAAAATAGTTTTATAATTCTACTAATTTTTAAGTTTTATTAAATAATAGAATATTTAATAATCCTGTTAACATTTTTAAATTTGAAATTAAATTCATAGTTTAAGTTATATTTTTTTTTAGATTTGATTTCAGATTGATTTTAGTATTTTAATAATTTTGAATAAAAAGGAAAAAAAAAATTTATATTATTTATGAAATAAAGTAATAGATGGATTAATATACAATGTAGATTGCATTAACCTTTAGGTAGATTTAGTCGATATGTCTTTATCCATCTTTTTTTAATTTTTTTAAATAAAAATGCACATTTATATTATTTTTCCTTATTCTACAGACAATATGAGTCGATCTTCTTACATGAAATAGACCATCAAGTCAAACTATAGTTTGATGGTGCGAGGAATCTTCATCAAAACAGTAATGAATAAAAACTAAGAAAATTTAGTCATCTTAAGCAAATCTCATGATCTTTTCTCTTGTTTAGAGCCCTAGAGCTTAATAACTCGCATGAACCGTCTTCTTATGGTCAATAGTCTTCACCACCAACATATAGCCATGTTATTGCTTTCTTGAGTATTTATCTAATAGCACAGCTCAACCCTCTACTAAGCTAAGACTTTAGAACTGCCTCTTTGGAACCCAATGTCACGGCTTCATGCATTCTTCTCTTTATATACACATAAACATTGAGCTTGCTTCTTTCATCCATTATGCCTTAGCTATTCCAAGAAAATATTATCTTTCATTATCATTAGCAACGTCCTTCCTTTGGTAGTACATATTTTTTCGTTAATTATGTTGCATTAGTATATCAAATTTGATGAATGCATATATTCTAGATTCAAATTTATAAAATTGCTATAAGATCGCATTTTGAATTTACATACTTTGCATTCATTTTTTTTTAAATATAGATATGTGGATGTCATGACCTTATCATGACATTTTCTTAACTCCATGTAACCTATTTGCTTTTATGGATGATAATTAGTTATGTTGCTTAAATAAATCAATTTTGATGAATGCATATATCATGGATTAAGGTTCGACAAGTTGTTAAAAATGCATTTTGAATAAGCATGAATCCTTGTGTTTCAAAAGTATTCTTTTAAGATCACCACATTAAGTTTTGTTGGTTTAAATTCTCCGCAATAGTATTCTTTTAAGATCACCACATTAAGTTTTGTTGAGTGCTGATCTCAATTATGCTTGCTTTGGATTTGTTTTCACTTGAGCTATGGAAGAGTTTTTACCATAAATTTAATTTAAATTACTTAAGCTATTGATAGTTTGGGTGTTAATTCATAAAGGGAGGTCTCTCATCATTCTTTGTTAGATAGTTGACGCAAGTTAAGAAAAAGATGATTTTTTTATCATAACTTTTATTTTAAGTACCATAATTTTAATTTTGTTTCCGACGTATTTGCATTTAGCGCATTAGGTTTTAAATGGGTGAACATGTGGAGATGTAATAAAAGCTAATATAAAGGAGGTGTATAGAAGAGAGGTTGATTAAAGTGAGTGTGAATTTCATTGACGTTTTTGATGTGTTTTAAACAACAAAAAGAAAAAAAACTGACATTTTCCTCCGATATTTTGTAGACAAAATCGACACCTAATTGTCCATACTCTTTTGAGTGTTGTAAATGTGGTAGATCAACAATTATTTCAAAATAAGTTCTCATTCGAATTGATAAAAAAAAAATCAACATAGTAGTCAATCTGAATAAATTTAATCATGATGATGTGTTATGAAATCTATATTGCAATTTGAATTCAATTGTGGTGGTAATCAGTTAGTCGACACGCTTGAGTTCGATCGACCAAGTTGATAGGCAGAGTTGCGATCGGGCGCCCTTGGGGTTTTTATTGTCCTCTATGTGTTGCTAGCTTATCTTCTCACGGTCATTTTCGTAAAGCTAACTGTAGTTTCTTTATTGCTCTTAGTTGAATGTTTTTTGGGAAGCATTGATGCTTTAATGCCCTGAACTTACTTTGGTGGCCCATGACACCTAATACTAAACGCAGATTTGGCTTAGATATTCATGTATATATATATATATATATATTTCTGAATGAAGGTATAAATGGTCCCATAAAATCTAATCCCCATGCATTAATAATTTCAATTTCTAAATTAAAATTTAGAGGCATTTCATCTCTTCTTGAAATATTACCTACTTTCTAACATCGATCACATGTTTTTATATTTATATTAACATATCTAAATAGAGTAGGCCAATAAAATCTAGATTGCAAGCTTTTATGAACAGTTCTATCATTCTCAAAATGTCCCCCAAACTCAGAATCATGACATTTTTGAATAATTTCTTGAATTTCTTTGTAAGACACACATTGTCTCATTACTAAATTTTTGCATTGTTTATATAAATAGTGGTCATCCCAAAAATAAGATGGTCATCCCAAAAATATCATCCCAAAAATAAGACTTTGCATCATGCATGAATTTCTTTTCCTATTTTTGTAATCCATATGGTAAAATACCACTAGCAATATAATTTACAATGTCAGCATACCAAGGTATTTCCCATTCTTTTACAACATAAAGTTTTTCATCAGGAAAATTTTCATTAATTTCTTTTTCCATGTCAAATATTTCTTCTTGCTATAGCCCAAATAGATGATCAGTAATTTGATCATCAATCCCTTTCTTATCGACTATTACAAAATAAAACTCTTGCATCAAAAGTACCTATCTAATTAGTCTTTGTTTCATATCCTTTTTTCTGCATCAAATATTTAATAGCCGAATGATTAGTATGCACAACACATTTAGGTCCAATCAGATATGACCTAAACTTATCAAAAGCATACACAATGACTAATAACTCTCTTTCAGTGGTGGTGTAGTTAATATGAGAATCATTAAGAGTCTTACTAGCATAGTATATAATTTTAAAAATCTTACCATATCTCTGCATTAATACAACTCCAATTGCATAATCACTAGCATCACACATTAATTTAAAATATTTCTCCCTATTAGATGAAACAATTATAAGAGCAGTGATCAATTTTTCCTTTAAAGTTTCAAAGGCTTTAAGGCAATCTTGATTAGAATCAAATTTTATATCTTTTTTGCAGAAGTTGGCATAAAGGTTTAGTAATTTTTGAAAATTCTTTAATATATCGCATGTAAATTCCAACATGTCCTAAAAAGCTCCTAACTCCTCTTACATTAGTAGGTGGAGGTAAGTTTGATATAACCTAAATTTTTATAGGATTTGTTTCTATGCATTTTTCTGAAATTTTATGCCCAAGCACAATTCCTCCTACAACCATAAATTGACATTTTTCCCAGTTCAATACAATATTAGTATTTTCACATAGTTCAAGAACTTTCTCTAAATGATTTAGACAAATTTCAAATGAAGTTCCAAACA